TTCCGGGTTTAGGATATTAGGGTTTAGGGTTTTAGGGGTTAGGGGTTTAGGTTTTAGGGTTTAGGGTTTAGGGTTTAGGATATTAGGGGTTTAGGGTTTAGGATATTAGGGGTTTAGGGTTTAGGGTTTAGGGTTTAGGGTGTCCGTACCCATAGGCCCTAAAGTAGTTCCTTTTTGGGAGTACCTTATAGGATTTTATATATGAACCCCAAAAAGGAACTACTTTAGGGCCTATGAGTAGTGCTACTGCTCTTAGGGGTATGAGGAAGTTGGAGGTGGGCTGGCGATTCGCCTGGAAACATGCTCTTGGCTTCAGGGTTGGAGCGGTTGGAGTTGCGGAACGTGCGCCGGGCACGCTGCTGTAGGCTGTACCACCAATTTCGGCCCGGCTTTCCCTAAACCCTAAACCCTGAATACTAGTCTGAAGACATCCCAAGTGACTCTCCATCCTCTATGTATGCATGCTTTGTTCTACACCAGGCAACTACGGCTTTCCCAGAGAGCCCATCTTACCCCTTAAATAGGGAATATACCTTAAATTATAAGGACCTTAACATTATGATCTAAGGTATATTCCTTATTTTGGGGGAGTATTGGGCTCTTTGGGTTCTCGTTTTGTACGACTAACTATGACTGCGGCTACCACTGCGACCACTACACGACCAGTAGCACCAGGACCACGACCACGACTATGCCTAGGACGACGACTGCAAGTGCTTCGCCTCCCACTGCTACCACTGCTGCTCCTACCGCTACTACTACTACTACTACTACTACTACTACTACTACTGCTACTGCTACTGCTTCTACTGCTACTACTGCTACCTACTGCTACTACTGCTACTACTGCTACTGCCACTACCACGACGACGACTACTTTAGTACTGCTACTTCTACTGCTGCTAGCGTTTTTCGTGCTACTACTGCTGCTGCTGCTGCTGCTGCTGCTGCTGCTGCTGCTGCTGCTGATGCTGCTCCTGCTCCTGCTCCTGCTCCTGCTCCTGCTCCTGCTCCTGCTCCTGCTCCTGCTCCTGCTCCTACTCCTGCTGCTGCTACTGCTACGACGAGGAGGATGACGGCGACGACTGCTTCTACAACCGACAGTAGTACAGCTGCCACCACTGCTATGGCTACAGCAACTGCTGCTGCTGCAGCTGCTGCTGGAGCAGCAGATCTAGAATCGAGTGGAGGAGGCGGCGTCTTTGGCTGCAGAGCGCCGGTCCCTGATGGCTCAATTCCGCTTGGAGCAGTTCGGTTGCAGAATCAGTCTTCGCGCAAGAGTGCGTGCGGAAAGTCCTCGTACACTCAAGAGGGAATGCGTCGAACCCCGAAGCAACCTCCACTCATTCAGGCTGTGCAGGAGCCCTAGCATCGGCTGAGGCAGTCGTTTTTCTGTTTTTGGGGAGGTCTATGGCTTTCCGTCTGGTAGGTTTCTTTGTTTTGGTTAAGTGGAGACCTCAGAGGTGCTTCCGAGGCTGCATGGTAGGTTTCAAGGTCCTGAGATACTCGCGTTCAAGTTTTCAAGGAACTAGGCTAGTGCGTTCCTGCGTGCATCAAGTAAGTGCATTCGACAAATGCCTCAAAGCCTTTCTCCAAACCCGAGGCAGGGCGAGGGAATGCCAAGATTTCTGTCGAGGTTTTGGTGTGATCATAGGGCCAGCCAAAGGGTTTAGGGTTTAGGGTTTAGGAAACCCTAAACCCTAAACCCCTAAACCCTAAACCCCTAAACCCTCAACCCTAAACCCTTTCATCTGCGGTCGCGTGCGGTCGCGGGGGTCGAAGCATCCAAGGCAACGGCTGCAGAGCGCGCCCGACCCCCGGCTTTCGGTGCACATCGACAGGCGCCGATATGCGTTTTAGGGGGTTGAGGGTTTAGGGTTTAGGGTTTAGGGGGTTGAGGGTTTAGGGGGTTTAGGGTTTAGGGAACCCCAAACC